TTCCGATACTCATATACCATACATACATACAAGTATAATGTCTGATTGTAAAACTATCTTACGAGTATTTCTCAGGCTCCAAGCAAATGTTATCGACTTTTTTATAAAGTAAAAACTGCCTTAATGACATATTTCCCACTTCAAACCGAAATCACGTATGCACATTGAAAACACGCACACACCAACACACATTTGCAAACAAAAAGCAAAAAAATGCATGTGAATGAATGCAATGTGGCAACACAGCTATATCAAAAGGCGCGCTATTGTTTTTGTCTGTATATTTGTATGTGTTGCATATGCATAAATATTAACGTACGTGCGGCAAAACAGTTATCCTTACGCGTTCAAGCAAGACCAAGTTATTACAGTTGTGTTATTGTGACCAATTTTGCCTGCCACTTGGCCTAAAGTGCCAAAGGCCCAGAGGCCTTCAAAACTTTATAGTTAATAATAACTCACTACATGATACTTATTTGTTGTTGTTGTTGTTGTCGCTGTTCTTGTTTTAGTGCATATTCATACTCATTCATATGCAAAATGCATAGCGGCAAAGCTGCGCGATGGACTGACTGTGTGTGGTGATGAGGCAATGCAGGAGAATACAAACATGCCATACATATGGTAGATTGTCAGGAAGATAAGAGTGTAGGAGCGTAATTGCTGGCATGCGGTGGACAATAAGTATAGGGTTCAACTTGTATTTGTTTGTTGTAATTTAATATCACTTTTCCATAGAGGAAAAAGAGGCAGAATTTACTTATTTCAGATTAGATTGGATACATAAAGTTATGTTAAGTTAAGTTTGTATAAAGATAAGAGGTTAAGTTATGTTAAGTTGATTATGTTTTGTAAATAAAAAAGTAAGTTATACAAGAAAACACTTTTACTTGAGTTACTTCGTACTTCCTATAATACGCTTTACAATACAAAGTTTTTCTTTAAGAAATTATCAAAATTTGAGATAAAATCTAAGGGACTAGACGAACATGGTTAAATCGACTCCGCGCGTCCCGCTGATCATTTATACATATATTATATAGGGTCTCCAACGTTTCCTTCTGGATGTTACAAGCTGCGTGGCAAACTCAATTTACCTTGTTCAGGGTATAAAGATAGTAGTTTAGGTTAACTGAGGTGAACATGTATGTGACATATATCAAGTAAAGTGAAGTTACGCCTGGTGTAAGTAAATTATACAATATAATATAGGTTAGGTTAAATTCAAAACTTTGCACCCTTTATGCAAGCTCTATCTTCGTGTTTATATCTTCTCATCACTCGCAATAATTTCGCACGCAATCGCACGAATTCAGCTACTGCACGAAACGTCAACTTGTTGCGACTTTTAGCCCCGCTATCAAAACCCACCGACACTTCGCTACCAGACTTAGCAGTGTGCTCTAAAAGCCATATAAAATTTATTAGCGACGCACGCACGAATTGACGATCTGCCAAAACAAGCTTTTCGTAGCTTTTTTTTCGTCACTTTTCGTCTGGCAATTGTGGTCGATGCGGCTAAATTTCCCTGCTTTGCCTACATAGTATTTTTTGGATTTTGGTTTTTCTGCTCGCCACACATGCAAATGTGGCACGCATGCGCTGCAGCTTACTGCACATAACCTCAACTGTTATTGTATTGTTGTTGGTTTTTGTTTTTTTTGCACTTTGTGAAGGTGAAAAATTGCGAAATGCATCAGATAAATGACTTTTGCGGTTTTCGTAAAGTGTTTTTCCTTTTCTTCATATTTTTGTTTTATTACTTTAATGTCAGATCTTGATGTCTTCTGCGGTGACACGCACTCACGCAGCATTGCGCTAACCGCAACGATTTGCATGCGGGGTCATAGGTGATGCGCTGGTGGAAACATTAGTATTATTAGCGGGCTTATGAAGGTCTCTAAGGAAAGAGGGCGAATCACATACTTGTATGTATGCATAATAGCGGTGAATGCGTGTAAGATGAAGCCGAATTGATATTTATTTCAAAACAACAATTTTTTCTAGGAAATAGTTTAGTTTCAGGAAGTGGGTAAAGGGTCTTAACTGCATTGAGCAGAGAAAGTAGTAAGTTAAAGAAACGAAAACAAAATGCTCTATCTTTCAATTAATCTTGGAAGGTTTTTGTGTTCGGACAGTTGCAATTTTACTTTAAAGAAATTTCACGATTTTGACGTGCCTAACTCTGGTAATATATATAATATATTATATATAAATATATGTATATAAACATATACCTAAGTATATGTAGACCACAAAACTCTTGTTCTGGTCGATTAATTTAAGTATGGTGACTTTATTAAAGGTAAGGACCTAAAATAGTTTTGCATATAGCTCATTCCTAATTCGCACACTTCTGTCAAAGCGTACCAAACTTCGTCTACATTTTGTTCGTAAAAGGGCTTATGACAAGTTCTTAATTGATTCTTTTACTTCATAATATTGAGTATTTAAACTGAAACATAGCAATAATTACAGAAAATACGATTACCAAAGCTTACATTTCTGCCCACATCCTGAATTAAGAAATCTTTCACAATAATAAAACTTGATTTTTTTAGAAATTCTTTTACTTTAGCGCACATATAATAAATAAAAATCGTAAGGGTTTTACGAAAATATTCAGAAAATCTATGTTTGCGCCTATTTATATGCAACTATATTAAAAAATAATTCACAATTCTTTAAAAAATTGTTGAACTTTCATATATTTAATACTGGCAGCTTACCACAATATTGCTAGAATAGCTTAAGCTTAGTTACTTGTAAACTTCGCTAAAAAATTTTCTACTCATTAGCTTTTTTTTTTAATTTTGAACGGCTCAAAACGCTTGCTTTATTATTTCCTAGCCTACAAATTTGCATGTGCACATGCAATGGATTTGCATAAATGCAAATAAATATTACAACAATAACAACAAAATACAATTATTTGCATATCACAACTAAGTGGAAGATATGTTATGTATAAAGCGGCAATGCCATGGCTAAACGCTCAACTCATAAAAGCATAAACGTGTAGCAAATAAAATGAGCGCTTTAAGAAAAAAAAAGCACACATACTAGAATTAAATTGAGATCTCCACATGGCATGCAACATACGAGTATTGAGTTGTTATTGTTGTAGTAGCAACACACTAGCGGTAGTTGCTGCACACGCGCTGGCAGCAAACGTGAAGAAGAGAAGTATCAATAACCTCGCATCACGGGCGAGACTTATAAATGCCCTAAAAGCTATAAATTTTCAGGTCAGTCAGTCGGCGCGATGAGCGGCGGTGATTTACATGCATGCATGGCAAACATACAACAACAACAATAACACATGGAGGCTAACAGAGCAGCCGCATTAATCGGCAGTTGGCATGTGCCACACGAGTATTTGCAGTGCATGGCCAGCAGCGGCTGAAGCAACAATGTCGATAGCGGCAACAACAACAACAATGCACAGCAACAATAAGTACGACAGTCATCAGCGTCATTGCGTGCAATTTTCGCATTGTTTCAGCTGCTTTTATGCCGATTGATTTGCGCCAGCGCATATATTACTTGGCAATTTTTCTGGTTTTAAATTTAAATGCGCTTTTTCCCCGCCACATTTGTGCACTTTTCGAATTGGTTTGTTCGTTTTGCAGCGCAATTTTCATGTGGTAAATTGAAGTTGCATGTTCGGCACAACAATACGCAACTAAATGCTGCCATACATCAATTGGCTCGCATGTATTTATTGTCTGCCGTGCGCCGAGCAAACAGCCGCAAATGCTTGCTGGGCGCTTCTCTACACTGCTATGCTGTACTGTGCTCAGCTCTGTTGTTCTCTGCGGTTGCCTACTGTTCTTTTTTAATTAAAACACTAACAGTACACAAATTAAAATTTTGCAAACGAGCTTTGCATCTGCTCGGCGCTGACGCTGCTGCCTCGCCACAAATGCAAATAAAACGTTACACTTAGCACTCAGCACACGTAAGTGGTTAAATACCTGCAGACAGACAAACACATATATAAGCATAGCGTAGAACTATTTTCATTTGTTCAGTTGATGGCTCGAGCTGTGGCATGCAATGATGCATTTTTGCATTTTACATCACTGAATTGCCTAGATGCGGTGCTAGTTATGTGTATGTGTGTATATTACATGTGTGCATGCGTGTATGCCGGCTTGCATGCAGCTTGTTTGCATATCGGACTTTGCATTCAATTGCAGTTTTAATTAAATGTGACCGAGATGGGTTTGCCCAAAATGAAATGCAAACGGCACAAACAGTTAGGAAGCAAAAAATCCAAATCCAAATCGAAATTAAAATAAAAAATAGAAAATAAAAAATTGAAAAACAAGAAAAAAAGTTATTGTAACATCGGCTGTTTCGTAACAGGTGCATTTCTTAAAGCATAAAAGGGTATAAAAAGATGTTTACCTTGATTTTGATCGATCAGTTTGTATGACAACTATATGCTATAGTAGTCCGATATCGACGGTTCACATAAATTAGCAGCTTCTTGGGGATAAATAGACGTATTCAATATTTCAGATCGTTATCTCGAAAATTGAAGAACTAGTTAGCGTATATACAGGCAGACGGATGGAGAAACATGGATTTTTTTACCATTATTTTGAGATATGAAACAAAATTTCCTAATTTATAATAATCTAAAACTGACGTGATTTCAACTTTTTACAACTGTTTCAAAACAAAAAAATTACTGTGGCGTAATTTTCTAAAAGAATCTCATCATCATCGCGTACTTTGACAGTAAAAAGCTTGGCTTAATTTAGCACTTATTCTTACTTATCAGTAAAAAAAAAAAATAAATAAAATGGCTGAACTTCTTCAAAACAAAAATGCTTTAAAGATTTCAAAATTACTGGCTAAACGTAAAAAAAAAATATGCATATTGTACAAAGAGCGCTCAACAGAATTGCTTCCTTCAAAAATTTAAGTTTCGTTCTGTCTACATAATTAACAAAAAAAAACATGTAAAATAAACTGGAATATTCACGCACCTTCTTCACTTGTATCCCCCGTAATAACTGGCGTGACCTCATCCTCCGATGGTGATTCTACAATGCCACCTACTTCGATGACACTTTGCACCGAATCTGCCGAAGACGATGTTGACACAAATGTCGCAGACGCTGTTGTTGGTGTAGTTGTTTGTGACATATGCATGCCATCGCCAACACGTTCTGTTTTCCTTAATTTCTCTGTCGACGCGTTGGCTATATTTTGTGGCTCATTTGGCAAATTAATAGTCTCCAAATGTAGCTCCGAAGCGATCGCACCGCTGCTGCTGCTACTGCTCAGCACATCGGCGACTACTTGTTTCGGTGTATTGACCGCCATTTCCGTTGGCAAATCTTCGCTAGCGAGGTTAATGATTGCTGGCTGTTTGCTATTGTTGTTGCTATCGTCAAATTGCTGCTGTTCTACGCCAACGATAATGCGCTCGAGCTTCGGTTGTGTTGCTGGGTGGGCGGCGGCGACGGCGGTGGGGTTTTGTTGGAGTTTTTGTTTGTTAATTGGGATTTCTAATTTAGTTGTTTGCAGTTTTGCTGCGCTCGTTGTGTGGTCCCCGGTGGCAGTGTTGCTGTGCACTTCGATTGAGCCACGTTTTTTTGGTGTTGGCGTGGGTGTGTTAGTAGTCGCAGGTGTGGGTACCTTATTGCTGTTCGTACTCTCTGTGGATTTGTGCTCACGCTTCTGCGGTATGGGTGGCGTTGCCGCTGATTTGGTTGCACTCGTTGTGTTGACCTCTTCGGTAGGTTTGGAGATTTGGACTGACGTTGGCAGATTAATCTTGATGTCCACAGTTTCGAACTGAGAAATGTTTTGTAGTAGCTTGACTTTCGTTTCAATTGGCGCTATAACTTCTTGGATTTCGATGACTTCTTTAGAGTTGGGCAGCGCTGGCTCGATATTTGGTACAGCAGTCAACGTTGGCATTATCGGTGGCTCGATAATATTTTTATGCAGCACATAAATTGGCTCATTATCCAACAAGTCTGGCGATACGCTGGTGGGAGTGGCAGGTTTTGCCGTCTCTTTTTTGTTGTTCACTGCTGTTTTCTTTTTTTCCAGCAGTACCCTTTCTTGTTCCATGAAATTTCGCTCTTCTGTCAAGAATCCGGCGGTCAACTTTGTAACATCGAAATTATTAGAATCGGCATGAGGCTGTTTGCTTAGGTTCGTAGTTTCCTGTATAACCGCCGGTTGCTCGTGCTGGACAACCGAAGTTTTACTAACATCTGCTTCACTTATCTTTACTGCTTCTATAGCTGACTGCTGGGAGTCTACGCCAACTCTCACTTCCATTTCGGACTGCAGCAGTTTCATATCCGCCACACTAACTTCCTGCTTCACTTCGCTGGTGAACGCAACTTGTTGTTCACTCTTAACATTTTCTTTTAGGGTTTCAACTTGTTGCGTAACATTTTCTTCAGACTTTCTTTGCTTATCATCGCCAAAATCGAAACCTTCGTCCTCGCACAACTCATGCTGAAATAGTTTTTCGGCCTCTTTCTTCACTTTCTGATAGCTTTCGATCAGCTTCTGCGCCTCCAACTCTAAGCGCCGCTCATCATCGGACTTCTTTAGCAGTTTGGCGCCCTTCTTTGGCGTCTCTTTTGTTGTTTCGCTGCGACGTGTAACCTGCTTCTCCCCATCCTTAGTCACAGTCAATGTTTCACTTAACTCACGTACGAGTGTCGGCCTATTGGCAGTCTCTTCGACATTCTCACCACCCAAAACTTGTTCGACATCCTCATATGAGTCTTGAACCAGATGCTCACACTCCATATACTCCACACCGCCCGCTTCGTTGCGTTGCAATTGTTTACCACTCTCCGATAAATTCAAAATACCCCTTTCAATACTTTGCTTATCTTGTGGATTCTCGGCTAACTCCGATATACGTGTCTCCGCAGACGCGGTGATCGTCATCGGCTGACATTTGTCGGCTGCAACACCATCAGCATCGATCACAATGCCGAGCTGATCCAATTCGTTCTCGTGACTGTGTACCTTCTTCAATTTGGCGCGCTCCTTGTGCGACTCTGTGCTGGTTTGTACCTTCTCCTCACCGGTTGCATCGCGTGTGCGTAGCTCAGTGTAGGCATTTTGTTTGCTCTCGAATTGCCGCTCCTCGAAAACAGTTATACGTGGTGTACCTGCGCCGTTAACACGTTCAGCATACGGTTGTAGCGTAAAGGCAATGGGTTTGTTTAATTGCTCTGTCAAATTGTTGTTGAATTTTGATGGCGGTGATGTTGTGCTGCTTGTTACAGTCGTGATCTTCCCACCACCAGCTGCCAGCATCTTACGCATCTCATCCGGCAGTCCGTCTAGTGTATCTAAGCTAGAACTCTCATGTAGCTGCGAGGTCGATGTGGTAGACTTGATTACCTGCTTCTTTGTTGTAGTTGTTGTCTTAGTATGCGCCAACTTTTGTGTGGATTGACGCGTCTTAGATTTAGTCTCCGAAGTTGTGGACTCGGACTTTACCTCCGACTTTTGTTCCACACGCTCTTCCGATTTATGCTCGGTATGTGTCTCACTGGTCAGATTAGTGCTGTTAGTGCTACTGCTAGTGGTAGTTGTGGTCTCGGCGGTTTCAACTTTGGACTCATTAATCGCATGCGTCTCAGGTAATATATTCTTTATGTCCAGCTTTTTAGTTTGTTCCGCAGCTTTCATTTCATCGGAATTCACACCTACGACCTCCATGGCCGCTATTGTGGGTTTTATTACTGTCTCACTTACTAGTTCTCCGCCTAGTTGCGCTTTAGCCATTGCTGGCGGCACATTGTTCGACACCTGATTAACCGTTATCACTGCTTCAATATTGTCAACAGTATTTGGCTCATTAGTCTTGGCTTTTTGCATATAATTTTGTTCGGCCATAATAAACGCTGCGCTCATTTCACCCTCACTTTGGTAATTACGGTCCGACGTTGCTGCGGTCGTAATGTCACTTATCTTATCACCTTGTTTTACTTTCTTTTGTTTCATATTTTCACTTGTTATTACTTGTTGTTCATTCATTTCAGTTGCATTCTCTTTCACTGTCACTGTCTTTTCACTAACAACTTCGCTTGTCGTGCGCGTTGCGTCCACCACCGACTGCTTATCATCTTCCGCTGTATGTTCTAATTTTGTTGTAGCTTTCTCCATTTGTGGTACCGTTGGTGGTGTAACAGGTGTGCCCAAAAATTGCGAATTTCGCGATTTATTTGTCACTGTCGTGTGGCTCTTAGGCTCGTGCAAGCTTTCTATGTTCGCCTTTGCTGGTTGGTTTGTAGCGCGACTTGCGCCTACGGTCTCGATTGCAACGGGCTGGTCTGTCTTAACTCTCTCTGACTCTACCACGGTCTTCGTAACTTCTTCAACTCGATCTAAGCTTTGCTTCGTCTGCTCGACGTCCGTCTCTTTTGTAGTTTTTCTAACGCTTGCCACCTTTGTCTCCTTCAAGTGGTACGCGTCTATCTTTTCCTGACTTTCAGCGTTCCGTTGCTGCTCGTTGACCTTCTCGACTTCAATGTGATTCGCAGACTGCTTGTTCTGCTGCTGTTGGCTCAAATCATCCACAATTACAATCGGTCTGGAAGAAGCAACAAAATTATGATAACAAGACCGTGTCAAAACGTTTACGAATATTTAATTATTTTGAAATATGTGTGACAGCTGCTGGCAAAGCTACACAAAACAATTAGAAAAAGCTTCAACTCTGCTCTCCTTTTCAACTAATTATCGCCAAGAGCCAATAACTGCAAACAACTTGTCATGTTCTTTACCGTTGTTTTGGCAATTTATCTATACTTTTTTTTGTATTTTTGTTTTCCTAAACAACACACAACACAACCACTACAGCAATCGGAAATTGCCTACACTGTTTCTAGCAAAAATTTGAATACTCGCTCATCTCTGCGGCTGTGTATTCGCTCAGCGTTCTACGTCTCTTCTGCACAATTCTGCGCTTTGTCTATCTCGCGCTTGCATTCAATCAACTAGACCTTAAATGAACTTACTTCGTATAGCTTTCTGCCGTTTTCTCACCTGTAGCGCGTCAAATCAATACTTGTACTAATTACTTTTGCCCACAATGAAGAGCGTAAAGTTCCGACGTCAACGCAAAATATGTCGTTGCTTCATCATATATACCGCTGCAGCGTTTCATGCTATTACTGTTACCCTGCTCTTCACCCTGTGCCTCCGCTACGGTCAGTAATCTACATACGAACCCTCTACCATTTTAGCACTTAACGCCTCGGCGCTACCGCTGCGCTATCATTGCCTACCGTCGCTTATCATTATTTTCGATTCCGTTGCTGTCATTACCACTCTCATAACCCGCCACCCTGCGCGTCTTCGAGCTTTCGTTTGTGTTTTGTATTAATTTAGTACCTGCTCCCCATTTTGCCCAAATTTTATTTAGCACATTTGCATTGTACCGGCTTTTTTTAAGGTTGTCTGCGACTCTCTTGTATATTTATACATACATATGTGGTACATCCATTTTTAAAGTATATCACATTTAGCGTTAGATAATTCAGTTTGCACTGACTAAAATGTTCTCTACTAATTTTGCTGGTCTCTTATCTCTGCATAGCACACTTTCTTATCTTGCACTGTTGCTAGATACTAATTAATTTGCATTGTTAATGGAAGTTCAAAGTGAGGGACTGAGTACGCAACAATATTGATAACGGGCGTAGACGCGTAAGAAGTCATCGTTAAAAAGCGCCTAAAGTTATGTGAAGATAACTTTTATCAGTGCAATGAATGAAAAGATCTGATTTCTTCAATCCCTTTCTATTGTACATTACTGAAACTTACATCGCTTAATGTCACGATCTCGACTTATTTCAAATAAAAATCTTCTTGGTGATTAACAGTTGAGATGGTTGCAATTCTCAAGAGTGTTTCAATTAAACTCGCCAAACTGATTGACTATTTAGAATCTCTGTGTTAGAAGCTATATTCAGATAAAATCTAAGAAAACTGATTTAAGTTCGCTAATGTACAGCTCAATATAAAGGTGACCCTAAAAGTCCTTCTGTGGCGTGGACAAGCGAAACTTATTCCAAAAATTAGGTTCCTAAATCACGCACTGGTTTTTTGATACCTTCTGCTGAGTGACGTTCCTGGAAGATCTTTTCCCACGGTACGATTACCATGTGTTTTTAAAAAAATGTCGAACTCCTATTTCGCTTGATTTTTCATTAAAAATTTACAGTCTAAATTGCTGAGGCATATATTCTTAAATTTCTTAACTAGGTAACTTCATTCTGTTTTCAATTTTGTCAATAAATATAAAACTTGTCTTGTAAGATTACGAATTTTTTCTAATTAAAAAAAGCTTACCCATTTGGCAAGGATTGTGGCTCCAGCGACGAGAATTCCTCTTCCACTTCACCAATGGTTGGCAACATATTTGAATGCCAGTAGAGATTGAAGTAAGCTTCGGATGGCCCGGGACCGTTTATCACTTCCGGCGGTCCTAACTTTTCACCATCCTCACAATCATAATCGCGTTCAGCATCATTATCGACCGCACTACCCTCCTCATCATCATCTTCGCTCGAACTAGAGTAGTAAGTTGGTAAGGAGTCATTCACCTTAATACATTTACCCACCACAGCTGGTGGCGGGTCCTCATCATCAACGTTACTCTCCAAATGTTGCTCGTGCTCATAGCTTGAGGGCGCCTTAAATGTGGATAAAGTTGTGTTCAATGCGCTATCATCATCTTTGCGTTGCCCATCTGGACTGTGCTTACGTACCAGATCGAAGAGACTGGGCATTTTTTCATCTTCATTATCGTTAACATCCGTAAACGGTGTGCGTGGTTCTTGAGCTTTGCTCTCGTACGTTTGGATTTTGAAACGGATTTCACGATTCGGTGAAACGCTTGTTGGTGGTGATTGTTGTTTGAAGGTGTGCATTGTCGGTGCATTACCGACTGGGGATGTTGAAGGTGATGGCGTTTGTACGCTGCGGTCGCCAAGTGTTACTGTAACCGCACCATTAGCACCCTGAGCGGTTTGTAATTTTGGTATATGAGTCGGGGTCTTGGCCAAAGATTGCACACGCTCTGGTGGTTTAGGTTTCGGACCTTTGACTTTTGTGGTTGTGGTTGTAACAGTAGTAGCTAGTATTGCCTCTGCGGATGCCGACTGTCCGCTAAAGACGGGTATAAGTGTACGTTCGGGACTCTTTAGTTTCGATTCGGCTGAATTCGTGCGTTGCAATGGCATTTTAAGACTCACCGGCGGACTGTACTCCTTAGACTTGCTGCGATAGAGTCCGAGTTTTAGATCTGTTTCGGATTTTTGTTTGTGCGTTAAGAAACGTGGTATATTAGAAGGACTGCCAAGATGCTTTCGTTCCATGGAGTTGTCCAACTCGAGCGAACGTTTCGGCGAGAGCACTACAGGAATGCGGGATTTGTGTGGCGATAATTTACTAGTTTCATTAAATTTCACTTTATCTGCCGTAGGCTTGCGTATGGCGCTTGCCACACTCTCCGTAGAACTGTGACATTCTTTATTCAAAAACAAAGCAGTCTGTTGCTTAATAGACGCCGCAAGCTCAGGACTTTGCTTAAGCTTTATTTCACCTTCAGTCTTTGCGCGCTCAAAGGAACGCTGTGAGTTCGGACCAAACACCGAAGCTATAGCTTTCGGTATCTTCGTAATGAACTCCTTAGCGCTTTGTGTGTTCTCATGTGGGGTAGGCGTGGTTGGCGTATTTGCAGGAGTCTGTGGATAGTTCGTCGGTGTTGAGGGTGTGGTAGGTGTTGTGGGCGTGTTTGGGTTATTGGTTGCTTTAGGCATTGACCTAGCTTGCAACGCCTCGCTAGGTACTGTCGGTGGCGGCACTTGTATGGGCAGCTTAGTGGGAGTGGCAATTTTTCGTGGTGTTGGTATAATTGAACGTTTCTTCGGTTCAACTGTCGGCGAGCCGTTTGTGACGGCTACAGCTTGTCGCGGTTTTGGTGTTGGTAGCACCACATTTGGCACACCTGTTGTCTGTGATTTAAGCTCCACATTCTCATAGGTGTTGACTTTCTCGGTCTTAAACTCCACATTCTCGTAGTTGTTGCCTGGTATAAATGTTAACGGTTTCTTTGCATGCGTCGCAGACATTGTGCCCGCCAACAAATCTGGCATTACATCCCCCAATGTTGGCGATGGCGCATCGGCAACTTTCTTAAGACACTCATCCAGCTGCACCGCCGCATTACCGTTCACATTCACATTGAATTCTTGCTCCAGCATTGTAAACGGCTTGAGCACCTTTGCCAACTCTGATTTATTAATCACACTCTGGCCATTTGTCAGCGATGTGTAGCTGGACAGATCTGATTCGGACGAATAGTTGGAGCTCATGGAGAATTTATCAATCACTGTCGAAATTGTGCTTGCAGTGTCATCCGATTCCGACTCTGTCTTCAACGATTGCCCGTCGGCAAACAGATTTATGTAATACTCAGCATCCGGCGGCGGTGTAAAGGGTTTATCCACTTCGCTGCCATTTGACGGGCTCGCCGCTGTTAGTGTAATGGTTGGCGTGGCACTAGCGCTGCTGGTAGCCGCCGCCGGCACCACAATTTTACTTTCGCCATTCAACGACTTGCGCTTCACTAGCTTACGCGGCGGCACGGGTGGTGGTGGCGGTGGACTGCCCTTCATTGCACCATTGCTCATAATCACAGCTGTGCCGCTTGCATCATTGCTCAGCACACGCGCACCTGGCGTACTGCCGCTAGCCGCATCCATATTGTTGGCGCCCGCCAGCAACAGCTCTTCCTCCGTCTCTGGTTTGCGTCCATAACCGTTGCGGACTTGCAAGCGTATTGCGACATTGTCTTTCAAACAGCGCACGCATTCAATACGCGTCAGCTCACAAACGCGTTGCTCATCGATGCTGACGATTTCGTCGCCCTCGCGCAATGCGCCCCAACTGGCGCGCACTTTCGAGGCCGGGCTGTCGGCAGCGCAGGACTGTATATAGAGTTTGTGCACCTTTTCGGCGTTACGTGTGCCACCTTGAAACTTCAGACCAAAACCCAGACGTTCACCTGCCTGGCGGTGCACGATCAACAATTCAATGTCTGCTTCCGCCTGTGTTATGTGCAACAAACCATTTGAGGTGCTACTGTGCGCGTTTGCTTCCTGACTTCCGGCACTTTGTTCGCTGCCATCACTGTTTGTGTTGTGCAATTGTGTTTGATTGTTGATCGTTAGCACAGTTATGTACGAAGAGTCTTCTTCGACTGAGCTTTGTCTTTGCTTGACTAGCTGTCTGCGGTTTGTGTCTTTGGATGCGGGATCGTCTACTTCAACAACGGTCACATAGTCGTCATCAGTTGTTGGTGTCGGCGTAGTAGTGGTCGTTATCGTTGTGCTTGCGTTGGTCGTCGCCATATTGCAGTTGTGGTGTATATAGTTTGTGTTGAATTCCTCGCTCAATTAAATGCTGTATTGCTTATTGCTGAATGAGTGTTGAGTATTTGTGCGCTGGTACGCCGCTGTGGTGAGTTTGGTGCATTTAATTGTAGATTTGTGGCGCTTTCAGCGGCGGTTTGTGTATTGGCTAACCGAAGTTTTGCACTCGCGTAGTGGTGAAAATGTGTGCTTACTATTATGTTGGTTAGTTGAGTTTATAGCTCGTGACGATGCTAAAATGAGATAAAATAAAGCTTTTAGTAAAAGTTGAAGTAAATAAAAAATTCACTGTTTTTATAATACATATGTTTTTAGACAAAGTTGTGAGTAAATTTTGTTAATTTTTGGCTCCTATAAGTGTAGGAGAAAATATTTACATATTTACTTAGTTTATTTAAGCATTTCTATATATATAACTTAGGTATTCGTTCTGTAGTTCCACGACAGCCGAAAATGAGTATACGTATAGTGGTACAGACTAAGAAGATTAGAGATTCTTTTCGACCGATTTTAATATCGATTTTTATTCTTCTAAAACAAAACATAATCACACAATTTTAACAAAATATCACGCAGATTGGTCGATGTATAGGTTATAGAGTCACCCAAAGAGACGCGAGTTCATTTTATTCTAAATAAGGGGCCAGATGAAATTATAGCAATTTTTAGTTATCTATTGTAAAGTCAAATATGCAAAATTAATGTGACAATGTGTTATATTGGAAGTGGTCGATATACGACTTTTCCATTTGGTAAATATAATACTTGTACATATGCTAAGAGAGAGAAATACGTATGCTCTTTAGAGCATTTTAGCTGACAATTCTGGTTCAAACCGTTCGAGGAATTTATGAAGTACGAAATATCAGCTAAAAGTAGGCTGTGCCACTCCCATTATACAAATTTTAACAGTTCTATATATATACCGACCAACGAATTTTACAATCTAGGCGTTATGCTTTAGATATTTGTCGGTATTTTTTGTATTTTAAAATTTTTAACCGGTTTTTTTAAGAATTTACTCTGATTCAACCCCTTGCATAAACTGATTTGTTCCTGTTGTATTAATATAAAGATTTTACATATATAGTATCTGCAAACATAACCCTTGCTACCGTTCTCACAATCTCCCCTCCTGTTGATCAATATTAAACTCCACCCCCCACATGAAATATGACCCCACAAACCAAAGACCAAAGCAACAAACTTGCACACCGCCATAAAAAGTAAGTGCAGATAAAAAAAATGCCTAGCTTTCTGCTAACTGCTTTTGCGCCTTAAGCACTTTACCGGTAGTTCTGTGGCAAGCAGCGCTGCTGCTTTTTACGAGCATTTCAAAGCATATTTTTAGCACGCTTTTTTATCTGTTTTATGTGAAAACTGCCAAGTTTCCGATGGTTGTAGAAGAATTGCGGTTAACAACACGACGGCAAGCGGTTAGAACCTGCTCTAGTCGATGCGAGTGCGCGCCACGCTCAGCACTGCTTCCATGCAGGCTTAGCAGTGCTTGTTTGCATGAGTGTGTGTGTGTCTGTGGCAACATTCCTGCATAGCACCTCAAAGGTGCACATTCTAGACGCGCATGCGCACAAGCTGACGACAGCAAAGTGATTGTCTGACATACTTTTTCATGATGGAGTGGCGTCGGCGTTCGCGACAGCACTCGCAGCTATTTATTTTCATTTATATGGTAGTGGCAACGTTATTGTTTGTGGCAGCATGTTGCACCTTCATGCAACTTGCTTGTAGTAAGCTTTGTATAGTCTTACACGCTTTTGTTGCTGCCTCAATGTAGCAAGTTGGCTGCAAATGGTGTTTGTTTGCCGGTATGAAGTCGTTGTTTGCCATGAGTTATTTGCCTTAGTTTTGAACGCAAGCGTCTGGAATATTTGCTCACATGAATTTGCTGTTAACGTTTAATGGTTTAATGAATAAAAGTTGTAATATTCGCAGACTTAAAATACTTATATCCGTAAGGGGTGGAAAAAACTTTTTGCTAGAAAATTCAGCTTTTTTATGGTCTGTTTGCAGGTCTCATTATAGCTCACGACATCAAGTTACAGAAAAGATAGTTCATTTTCAAAACTCTGAGTATATTTCTGGCAAGCAAGAGCTACCCATAAAGTACCAGCACCCACTCTACGTATATTTAAGACGCTATATATACCGGCTAACATCAAAGCAGACTCCAAACGTCGAAAAAATATGTATATGTAGGTCAGAATAACCGTTAATGAAACATTTTGTATTTTTTTTTGATTTTAGAAGATAAAATGAAGCGAAATAATGAAGCGATTTTATGTTCTCTGAGCCAATTTGTGGAACCACATATTTCTTTTGACGCAGAAAAAAATTACGGCGACAACTTTAAGCAAAGACTTGTAAGAATTGAGAATGGGAATCTTGGTCATAAAAAGAAGGAAAGTTCGTAAAAAAAAAATTAAATCCCATTCCAGTCCAAGACATTGCAAAGTTCCGCATAATAATTTTTGTGATTTCTTTATTGTTGCTATAACAGCAAGCAATTTATTTTCAAATTCATAGAAATTCTGATCATTCTGGGCACTCCAAGGTCAGTTTTTTTTTTATCTTGTGTTGTCTACGTTCTTGCTGGGCTCTCCTATGAATATTATGAACAGTCCTCTATCTTTAAAAGTATAAATAACAAATCCGCGATGCTATTTTTAAGAGTTGACTCTGTTCAAAATGGATGACTGAAATAAAAATTCACATTAGAAAGGTACCGTAGGTAGGCCTTGAGGACAAGTATGAGCCGCTAGTTTATAAATAAGTAGTCACGAACATTATTCAGTTTACTTCGAGGATACTCTTTCTGCAGGAAGGGGCGTAGTAAGGCAGTATAATAATCTCAATTCATTATATCTAGACATTATAGATCTTGAATTTGTAAATTCTCTTAGAAAATTTCAACATTTCTAATAGCCTAATGCTATTAACTATATCCGTCGCAACAAAAATTAGAAAGGGCTTTAAGTTAATTCAAGTACCACCTCGCTTGGCATCCTGACTGTGCTCTGGCACCTAATTTTGTACACAAGATCTCAATACAAACCAAGAGAGAGAGATAGAGAGAAAGAGAACAGAATGCTGTATCGACTTTTATAGTCGAAATCCCCCAAATAAACTTTTATACCACTTTTTCTACGAAATTTTGACCGATCTAGTAACCAATATCTGTATATATATATTTATATAGAGAGAGAGATGAAAAGAGAGAACAGAACTGACCGACTCAAAAATATGAAAAAATTAATATTAATAATACTTATTCTATGACATTTTGACCGATCAGGTCCAAAATACTCGTCTGTATAAATATGTCTTAAAATATTTTCTCATTTCTACACGTCATTACCAAAAACCACATCGAGTTCCTGCTTCTTTCAGCATTTGCCGGCGTCAAGGCGCCTGTGCCCTACTCGAATTGGTATGCTTGGTATGCGGTCACCTGTAAGACACAAGTTTTCTAGTTTTCAACAGCATTTGAAAGTCAATTTTTTGTTGTTTTTGTAAATTAATCGCAGTGGCAAATAACCGAAAGTATTGTTACAGCAACAAAGTACCGTAAAAATAAGTCGATGTAAGTACATAGCGAATTGACTGGAGCAAAGTGGAAGAGCGTCTGGAGAGCACTTTGAAAATAGAGAAAAACTAACGGTACTATGGTTGTTGTTAATTTGAAGTACTGCAAGATACATAGTTGCATTTTGCATGTGTGGTCTCATTAGTGTCTCTGGAAACTCAAACAAAGGTTAAAACAAATAATACAATAACAAATTGCAAGAAAAATTCAAAAAGAAATTCGTAGAATAAGTTTCTTGAAAAAAAAATTTCGGGTAGCATTTAATTAAGTTTATTTACCACAAAAGCTATGAAAGAGTGCCGTAATATGTGTGTTAAAAATTACTATTTTTTCAAAGCTGTTTGACTCCAGCTTCAACTAAGCTGTAAGTCAGCAACTCCAAGCTGTCATTTACACAGACACACATACATACCAATATGTTTGTGTGCAGCTAATTTCCAATATAAATTTTTTATTATTTTGTTGTTTTCTTTCTTTTTCGTTATTGTTAGTAACTGTTACTGGTTGGCATTACATTCCACAGCGTGCTCAGCGTTAGCGGCGACCTGTCGATTTTTGTGTGGGTGTTCGACTATTTTATGCATTTTCAAGTTGTTCACTTGTTTGCCTATTGTTGTTTTTATTCCTTTTACGAATTTTTCAATTTAAGACCGGCAAGATGATGACTGGTTTGTAGAGAAATCTACAATTTCGGCGTGTGGTATTTACAACATATATGTGTGTATGTATATAAATTTAATATGAGATAAGTACATAAGGAAAGGCTGAATTCGGGTATAACCGTGCAATTCATACTCTTGCAATTTACCAAGATCAAAGCCGTGTAAATACCTTCAGGTGTTGGCAAAATTTAATGCCAACAAATGTTGCGAAAGATTGTACGACGAAATCGTGAAACAATTATAAACAAATTTGGTATTTTATTAACTTTTATTATAGGTCATAGACTAACTTAGTTTATTACTACATTTAACTTCCCGTCAGCGAAAATAATATTAAAATTTACCTCAATGAAAACATATCGGACATAAACGCAAACAAAATTTTATTTGAGATGTTGAGCAAAACGTCAACCAGAGTATTAGAATTTTTTACATTAGGGTTATGAGTTTTGGACCAAGGTCTAAACCAATTCCATTCATATTAAGCGCTAAACTATAAAATTTTTAAGAAAGCTTGTCCACTTAATTTTACTAAAATATCACACATTCAAATCGATATCTCAAAAATGCAAAAATGTGTAGCAGAAAAACATTGGAAATTTGCAAATATCTTCACAGCTTTGAAGTTTTTAAAACATATTTTTAATTAAAGAAATAAATGAGGTTTAATATAAATAGCTGATAAATACTGCTGTTTCGCTTATGCAATGAAATTTCTTTTACAAAAAGTTATAAGCGATAAAAATATAGCAATTATACAAATAAACATTTTACCAAAAAAAAAACTCAATTATTATCTTATTTGACTACTCTTTTTGAAGTGTTAATCTAATACCCACCAATTAATTACTTATCTTTGATAGACAAATATAGAAAACACCAGCCGACTACTGGTTTTTTTATCTCAGTGTATTGAGACAGGAAGCGGCTATTAAGTGACTACTTAATTGTGGCAACAACAAACATC